ATGTTACCTTATGCTAGCGCAGTTTCAGCAAATTTTACTACAGAGCCATGTTTATAATTACAAATACAGTAGTGCTTTTCTTTATTTGGGACAATTAACAGGCTACACACCTCCAGGTTAGATGCACAATACCTTTTACTCATCCAGTTACTCGTTAAACAAGTAGCAATGATGTTCTCTAACACTTGGGGGTTACTGTATTTGGGATGGATCAGTGAAGAAAACAGAAAAACAGACACGGCTGCTACCCGTGAGGCTTAAACTTACATGACGCTTAAATTTTAACAGGAATCTTTCATCCAAACATAATACATTAAAGAAAAAAATGTTGCATGTATGAAATACACTGGAGAAAATCAATTTACAGCCTTAGTATACTTATATAAGCCTTACATAAAATACATGGGCACACTATATTTGTCTTATCAAAGCTTCTTTAATCACTGCAAATAAATCATGCATCTTCTCTATATGGTTCCTTAGCAAATATATTAACGTATGGCTAATGAAAGTGAAAGGTGCTCGGTTGTGTCGGACTCTTTGTGACCCTATGGACTATACAGTCCGTGGAATTCTCCGGGCCGGAATACTGGAGTGGGTAGCTGTTTCCTTCTCCAGAGGATCTTCCCAACACAGGGATCAAACCCAGGTCTCCCACATTGCAGGTGGGTTTTTTACAGTCTGAGCCACAAGGGAAGCCCAAGAAAACTGGAGTGGGTAGCCTATCCCTTCTCCAGCGGATCTTCCCGACCCAGGAATCGAACAAGGGTCTCCTGCATTACCGGCGGACTCTTTACCAACTGAGCTATCAGGTATGCCTAATACTTCAAAACTAACACTTAGCCGATACAGATTAAACCTGCAGGGACAGGGACAGTACAGAGTAGAACAGGTGACAACTGTCCACAATGAGGGGCAAGACTGAACTGTGAACATATCTTAGATTATATTACTTTTAAAACCTTAAAGACATATCCCCATTAAAGTACAGTTTAAAGGCCCTGTAAATACATTTAATGACAAGAGAAAATACCATGCCATAAAAATAAGACCTAAAGCGTATAATCCAGGCCATCAAGCTCTAATCTAAGGACAGCTTAGTAGAGCTATTTCAGGTGCTAAGTACTCTCCTGAATGCTGCTTGTTCACAACCAGAACCACCAAGTCATTCCACGTATGTGTGCTCAGTTGCTCGGTCATGTTTGACTCTTTGCAGCCCTATGGACCGCAGCACTCCAGGCTTCTCTGTCCAAGGGATTTTTCAGGGAAGAATACTGGAGTGGGTTGCCACGCCCTCCTCTAGGGATCTTCCCGACCCAGGGACTGAACCTGTGTCTCCCGCGTCCCCTGCACTGGCAGGCAGATTCTTTACCTCTAGCACCATCTGGGAAACCCACATCATTCCATAGGGAAAGTTTAATAGATTTTTCTCTGTCATGAGACCTACACATGCAGGGGCTACTTTGGAGGATTTCCGTGTTTCTCTTAATCGGATGGGTTTAAATAGTAGAAAAGGAATGATAGGTTTTGTTAGGTAGTAACAATAAAATTGGTTTAGGTTTTTCCTTTTGACAATGCCACCCAGATTTGGGGATAGGAGAGAAGGCAGAAAACAGTAGAATCCCTAAAGATACTAAAGTGAAAGTGTTAGCTGCTTAGTGAGGTCTGACTCTTTGCGACCCCATGGACTGTAGCCCACCAGGCTCCTCTGTCCATGGAATTCTCCAGGCAAGAATACTGGAGTGGGTTGTCATTCCCTTCTCTAGGGGAATCTTCCTGACCCAGTGATCAAACTCAGGTGTCCCGAATTGCAGATTCTTTAGCATCTGAGACACCAGGGTAGCCAGAGACACTAAAAACCAAAAAAACCAACATAAACGAATGAGGTTTGCTCACACAAAGTACCCACCCTAGGAGATGGCCTATGAAGGTGCTGGTGGCTATCAAGTCTTAAAGATGTGTTTTGACTCAGCAATTGTACATACCATGATCACAGTTTACCCTCAGGAAATAATCAGATGACTACACAGGTACACATAAAGATGTCCAGTTTATAATGGCAAAAATTAGCAATGAGGACTTCCCTGCTCGTACAGTGGATAGCAATCTGCCTGCCTATGCATGGGGAACGGGTTCAATCCCAGGTCTGGAAGATTCCACATGCCGCAGGCAACTAAACCCCAAGGGCTATGACTACTGAGCCCAAGCTCTAGAGCCTGCCCTTGAGCAGAAGCCACCACAACGAGAAGCCGGTACATCACAGCTAGAGAGTAGCCCCCACTTGCTGCAACTAGAGAAAGTACTCACAGCAATGAAGGCCTAGCAGAGCCAAATATAAAATGAATTTCAAAAAAATGAGCAATGAGAGGTCAGAAAGAAATTATGTAATCAGAATAAATTAGGTAGCCCTGTCATATATGATGGTAACAGCCTCACTGAACTCCTGCCACTGGGCTTGGAAATGTTTATTTACATTCTTCACTGCAACCACGGAACAGTGAGGGTTGATTAGAAGTCTATTCAGAGAATTCATTACCATGCTGCCATCAAAACTCAACATATTTCTAAGGAGAAAGCAAAACATAAAGAAGAAGAGCCCATTTTAAAATTAACTATGAAATTACCTTTGGTGCATATATAGATGCACACAGACCTGATTCTGAAGTGCTTATTTCTAGCTGTTGGTTTGTGGGTGGTTTCTCCTTCAGTTCTCCTCTTTCTTAAAGGGCAACGCTATACTAAAAAGATGATTATTAATAAAAACCTGACTATTACAGGTTAATTTAGGAGCATCTTTGCCTCTGCAAAGAACCCATGAAACTGTTTCTAATAATGTGGGAAATTTAAAAGACTATATGAGTTGTTTTGTGTGTAGTTTTTATTTTCCAGGATCAAAAATTAATTTTCAACTATTCATAAATCTGTTAGACCTAGTAAAAACATTAACTCAGTACCATCAATTAGTGATAACATTAAACTTGTTTGATGTTAGTTTCCAATAGCTATTCAATAAACAGGAGAAATGTGACAGAGTCTACATTAAAAAGCAGGGTCTCTGACTTCTTTTCAAAAGCAGTAAACTCAGTTCTCTGGAAAGAGGGCAGCTTAACAGTGGAAGCTAGTTACTTTGAGCAAAGTAACACAGCCTTGCAACAGACAGGGTGGGACCACTGCACTGCCTGATTTCAACTGCATGATACACCCACCCATTTGATATTTTAGCTCCTTTAATGTTCTTCCCTAAAAGAACTGGAAGCACTGTATTTTAGGCTAGTGGGAATGAGTCAAAATCCAATTAGCTACTCTGAAAGCATCCTTTTCAAACACTTATTTTCTTTCTTGCAGATCAGCAAGGAATCTTGAACTGCTAATGAAGGAATAGAAATCTGTTAAATACAATGGCCCCAGGCACCACCCTAATAAACTCTACCGTTTTAATCAGTTCAGAGCTGTGCTGGCTAATACAGTTTTCCTCCATCACAAGGAAAGAGGCTGGTGCTCCAGTAGGAGAATCAGCAGCCAGAGGGCACTGTGAAGGGCGCAGTGGGAGCTTCAAGTCGACAAGGGAATAGATTACGCAGCCAGCCTCACAGAGGCTGCTCCAGAGCAAGGAACTCTCTGGGTTCAGAATACAAGCACTAAAAAAAAAAAGACCACCTCACTAGAAACAGTAAATCAAAATCACTGAGAATAAAATAATTTTAAAAAAATCTCTGTTAGCTTGAGAAATGACTTTAATAACATGGCCAACTTGTTTAAAATCCTCCAGAATGACAAATCAATATTCTGTCTTAATTTAGGAACAGGGCCCCCTCCCCAAACCTTGTGTTACTCTCAAAATAAATCTCAATGGAAAGATGAAGCAAAATGAGTGGGAAGGGCAGAAAAGAGATGAATGAGAAATCATGCCTATGTCTGAAGAACAGTCAAATTTTCTGACGGGAGAAACAAAATACCTAGGTAAACAACTACAATAAAAAGTACCAAAAAACTCAGGAACACTCTCATCAAGGGTATTTTTGCAGACAAATGCTTAACCACTGCTTGTTTGTAATAAGGAACATATCTGGGTAGCAACTAAAACACAAAACTACAACTAAAATACTCAAAACAACAGGACAAGTGCTACTTTATGTAGAACTGTCCCACACTTAAAAATGGCTGTGCCAGGCCTGTGAGGTCGTTAAACAAGTCTCCAAACATCTAGAAGACTCCAAAAGGACCCAAAGGCTGTACTGAAAGAAAACAAATCACTAATATAAAACATTTTAACTTCTATTTTCCGAAAAACAAAAACACCAGCTCCCCTCCTAACCTCCCTAAAAATACATTGCCGCCACTGAAACATATGAGATGCCATGACGATCCGCCAAATGATGCTTTCAAAACAAGGCACATCTTAGAATAACGTTGTTTCTGGCGCTCCAACCAGCAGGTGAGAAGCATTTCAACACACCTTCCCAACACACCTTCTCACCTGATCCTGCGGTCCCCCATCAGCCCTCCCACCGGTTGCTGACCCCAGCATCACGGTTCACCAGCACTTATCAGGCTCCTGCTGATACCCAATACCGGCATCTCTACCTTATGAACTCGTCCCTGCGCTACCATGAGGAACTCCCCGGCCACATTGAGCATCTCCAAGCCCGCCTAGGGCCTTCGGGAAAAGGCCTTGGGGGAGAACTCTGAGGTCGCTAAGTGCAGTGTGGCCAGACAGGACTGCCGAGCGACACTCGTCAGACCAGCCACTAATTGTTTAAGAGAAGAAACAGGAGGAGACGCGGCGGGGATGGGCGTGGGCGCCGCGTAAAACCACCGTCGGGGGATGTGGTCTGGAGGGCCCCCGCGCCCCTCGGGCCTCCCCGCTGCCCCATCGCCCGGACTTCCTCCTTCGAGAGCCCGCATTTCAGCCCGGGAAGGGCTGGTAACCGGCCCCGGTGCACCGAGGGTGCGGGGCGCGGCAGAAGGGCGGGGGCGTGGGGGTCGGGCCGGTAACTCACCCGCCGGCGAAGAGGTGAAGCAACGTGTTCTCCTTCTGCTGAGTCCCCGTCGCCATGGCCGCGCCGGCTCCGCGGCCCGCAGCCGCTGGGTGCCGCGGGCTCGAGGCGGCTCGACCGAGGCGCGAGGTAGTCGCTCCGCTCTCCCGGCTGCCCTCAGGCGGCCTCCGATGCCGCCTCCATGCGCGCGCAACCCCGTGACCGGCTCCCTCAGCTCGCGCCCTCGGCCGCGTGGCTTGAGGCGCCTCACCGGCCACTGCAGCGCGAGCGCGGCAGCCAGCGAGAACCAGGCGCGCGGCTGTCACGTGCGGGGGCCGGGTCGTGACGTCATTCGGCGGCGCGGGCTCGGGGCGGTGCGCGACGGGGGTGTGGGCCCGGATTCCGCGCCGCTATTGGTCAGAGGGCGGACCTGGGCGGAGCGACTGCGCAGCCCAGGAGGGAGAGAAAGGTGGGAGCCGTGGGAGCCAATGCGCTTGGAGTGAGAACCGGCTCAAGCTGCCTGGTCTCTGATCCGAGAGGCTTAGAAACTGGGATTGGTGGAACCCAGCGAGACCGTGAGCCTGGCCTTTATTCATTTTTATAGTCGTTTACTTTGTGATACTTAAAGTGTGTAAAAAAGTATATAAATTACGTATGACAATTCAAGCTCTGTGCTTATCACGCAGTTTATAGGGGAAAAACAAGATCCAAACAGCTTTAACTCCCAGTGGTATCATTTTGTGTTTCTTTGATTTTTCTAGAAATAGCTTTTTGGTCTCTTTTCTGATCATCTCCAGCCCAGACGTATGAACTCCCAAGTTTCTGTATCCGAGCTGTTTGTTTCTCTATTTGTGTCCTTGGGTCATCATCAAGCTTCACCTGACAACTTAACTCCAAGTCTCCACGCTCACGCAGGCCTTCCCTTGCCCCCGTTTGCTGTATATTCTACCTCGTGACTCTTATTTAATTTCCTCACATAGGCTTCTGCAGTTTTTTTGTTGTTTTATTTGTGTAAATTGTCCTTCCGCCCCTGGAGTGTAAGCTTCAGGAGTGCAGGGATTTTGTTCCTTTCGTTCAGGGTTTTCCCTGAGAAGGTGTCTGCCCCTTGGCAGATACCAAGGTATATGCCTAAGAAAATAATGAATGAAGGTCCTGAATAGGACTCGTCACTTCATTCTTCCCCTCCCCCAAACCTGTCTGCCTCTTGTATTTCCTGTCCTGGAAGAAGATGATGCCACCATCTGCACAGCCACCAATGCCAATAACTTTCCTATTACCTTTAACTCCTCTCTATCTCTCCTCAGCCCACCAGGCACTTCTGTCCTTGGAATTCTCCCAGAGTTATCCCCCTCTCTGTGTTCCTTCCACTGTGCCCGCTGGTTTCAAGTCTTCCTGTCTCTTGCAGCAAAAATCTTCCACCTGTCACAAGCCACCCTTTCATCCCTTTAGTTGGTTGCCCTCCACTCTCATCCCCCTCCAGAGGCACTAGGTACAGACTATACCAGCACTTTGTTTTCAATCTCCCAGGGCTGCTAAAAGCAGTACGTCAACCAGACCAGGTTGCTAGCTGTCCTGTGTGTAAACACAGTGAGAGTTTAGGCAGAAGGGAGATTGTGTGCAAACACAGGAGCTAGGCATTTGATTGCTGGGGCTCTTTAAAAACAAGTCTTAAGAGCAGTCATCCAAAATACAAATACGGTGACTACTGTATATTAAAGCCATTACTCCCCCTAGGAGCAGGAAAAGTTACATCAGTGCTCCATATATGGGGAGAAATAAGGGAAGAAGGAAATGAGGCAGCAAGGAAAAAAAGAGAGCTGTTTCTTCCTGCTTCCAGGATCTCTCAAATCCCTTGATTCAGTTGCTCAGAAAGTCAATGTTCGTTTTAGCTGAAGATGGTTTATGAGGCATGTGTAGAAAACAGGTAATACAATCATGTTAACCAGGAGGAAGCTGTTCCCATCCTGGTGAGATTCTAAACCCAAGGAGATACACTCTTGGAGCACAACCCTCCATCTTGGCTGCTTTCTCACACAGGTGTCTGAGGCTGGAACCCAGGCTTCTCACCCATAGCAGCATCCTGCCTCCTTCTCTTTCCTGAGCACTGTCAGTCTAGTCTGTGCCAGACACATAAGTGTGTGTGTGTGTGTGTGTGTGTGCCAAGTTGCTTTATTCGTGTCTGACTCTTTGCAATTCTATGGACAGTAGCCCACTAGGCTCTTCTGTCCAGGGAATGCTCCAGGCAAGAATACTAGAATGGATTGCCATGCCCTTCTCCAGGGGATCTTCCCGGCCCAGGAATCAAACTCACATCTCTTATGCCTCCTGCTTTGGAGGCAGATTCTTTACCACTAGCAACACATAAACAGGCTTCCCCATCCCCTTGTTAATAGTAATGCTGCCTTCATGTTAGAGTTTTTCCGAGGTCTTTCTGTATTCATCTCATTGGATACTCACACTGTTTGGCAGCCCTCTTGTTTTCCTTCCCTTTTATGGATAAGCAGGGTAGATTTGCCCAAGGTCACTCAGCTAGTTAGTGGATGATGCAACAACCTTTCATGCCTCCATGATTTGGAGCATGCTGTTGCTTACTATGTCTTCTTCCTCAATTGGCCAGACTCCTTCTGGACCTTCTCTGAAACCAGCTCAGAAATCACCTTCTCTGTGAAGTCACCCAATAGAGTGCTTCTTTCTCCTGGTCTTCACTGTTCAGCCTAGACAGCATATTAAAAAGCAGAGATCTCACTTTGCTGACAAAGGTACATATGGTCAAAGCTATGGTTTTTCCAGTAGTCTTGTATAGATGTGAGAGTTGAATCAAAAAGAAGGGTAAGTGCCAAAGAGTTGATTCTTTCCAATTGTGGTGCTGGAGAAGACTCTTAAGAGTCCTTTGGACTGCAAGAAGATCAAACCAGTCAATCCTAAAGGAAATAAACCCTGAATATTCATTGGAAGGACTGGTGCTGAAGCTGAAGCTCCATTACTTTGGGCTCATGCAAAGAGCTGGCTCATTGGAAAAGACCCTGATGCTGGGAAAGATGAAGGCAAAAGGAGAAGGGGACAGCAGAGGATGAGATGCTTGGACGGCATCCCTGACTCAGTGGACATGAATTTGAACAAACTCCGGGAGATAGTGAAGGACAGGGGAGCCTGGGGTGCTACAGTCAATGGAGTTGCAAAGAGTAGGACATGACTGAACAACAACAACACACCAGCATTCATTCCCTGGTGTATGTGTTGGTGGGAGTGAAGACTGGGACATTTTCAGAGAGAAATGAATTTCTGACAATATGTTGAAATGCATGTATGCATACATCATTTGATCCCCACATCAAGGAAAGGAAGCCATCTGGTTCATTTTTTCAATACGTTTTTATTGAGCATTGACTCTGTTCAGAAAAAGCACTTGAGGGACTTCCCTGGCAGTCCAGTAATTAAGACCCCACTTTCCAATGCAGAGGGTATGGGTTCAATCCCTGGTTGGAGAAGTAAGGCCCCACATGCCTCTGGGTGTGGCCAAAAATTTAGAAAAAAAAGACATTTGATAGCACAGAATACCCATTCCTGAAAAAAGTTCTTAGCAAACTGGAGCAGGGAATGAAAGGTGTCACAATAAACCTACAGCTGACATAATTTTTGGCATAAATCTGCATGCCTGTCCCCCTAAGATGGGCAACAAGGAAAGAAATTTACTCTTACCATTTATTCAAAGTGGTACCTGAGGTCACAGTGCAGTAAGACAAGAAAAATAAAGAAAAGGCGTAAAGATTGAAAAGGAAGACATCTTTAGTCATAGATAATGTAATAGTTTACTAGGAAATCCTTAGGAATCTATATAACAACTGCTAGAACTAATCAGTAAATTTAGCAAGATCAAAGGAGACAAGGTCAATATACAAAAAAAGAAATACTTCTTTTGCTAGCTACAAACAATCTGAATATGAAATTTGAAAAAATTATTTACAATAGCATCAGAAAACCCCAACAACAATAAAGGAGCCAGGCATGAAGGAGTACATGATTCTATGAAAAGTGTGAAAGTGTTAGTCTCTCAGTCGTGTCCGACTTTTTGCAACCCCATGGACTGTAGCCCGCCAGGCTCCTCTGTCCATGGAGTTTTCCAGGCAAGAATAGCAGAGTGGGTAGCCATTCCCTTCTCCAGGGGATCTTCCCAACCCAGGGATTGAACCCGAGTCTCCTGCATTGCAGGCAGATTCTTTACCATCTGAGCCACCAGGGAAGGCCACAGGATTCTATATGAGAAATTCTAGAAAAAAACAAAACTAACCTTTAGTGACAGAGAACAGATCAGTACATGCCTGGGGCTAGGGCTGAACTGGGGCCTGGGAAGGGGATTAATGACAAAGAGGCCAGAGGAACTTCTTGGGGTGATGAAAATGTTCCGTATTCCGGTCAGGGTATATACACTTGTCAAAACTCAAAAAAACTTACACTTAAAATGGGTGCATTTTATTGTATGTAAATTATATCTGAATAATATTAATCAAAAAGAAAAACAAAGTAAGACAGGCTACATATATGCATATGTGAAGATCATATCAAGTTTAGAAATGAGAAAGGGCAGACAGATGGTTACACACTTAGACATTGCTGAATTTCAGACATGAACTACTCCCAGGGGTCTGGAGGAGAGGCTTGTTTAGGTTTTTGGTAACCAAACCTGAGGTTTTGGTTTTAAAGGGCCTGAACCTTCCTGCTGACTTATGAACCTGTTTCTTTTTGCTTTCTTCCTCTGACTGTCAAACCTCTAATTGCTTCTTTAATCCTTGTTTTTCTGCAAAAGGGATAGCATTAGAAAAACATTCCACCACTCATCCTACCCTCCAGGGGCTGGGATTTCATTTTTATTTATTTACTTATGTATGGCTGTGCTGGGTCTTTGTTGTTGCACAGGCTTTTCTCTAGTTGCGGTGCTACAGCTTCTCATTGCTGTGGCTTCTCTTGTTGCAGAGCACAAGCTCTAGGTGCAAGGGCTTCAGTAGTTGTGGCACATGGACTCAGTCGCTGTGGCTGGGATTTCATTTCTTTGCAGGAAATTGTAAGGAACATTTCAGTTTTGCAGAGCCTAAGGCTGGGATGGGCCCTGTGCATTCATGCTAAGTCACTTCAGTTGTATCTGACTCTGTGCAACCCCATGGACTATAGCCCACCAGACTCTTCTCTCCATGGGATTCTCCAGGCAAGAATACTGGAGGCCCCAAATCCCCACAAATGCCGAAAGGCCTGTGTCTGCCTGGTGGCTGGAGGGAAACAGGGGCAAGTGATGAGACTGGGGGCAAAGGACACACACCCCGTAGGCCTCTCTCCCTCCTTTCCTTTCTCTTTACTACACCCAGCCTGAGCCGGTTTCCGGTTACAGTCCTAATGAGGCTCTGCAAAGCCAAGCCTTCTTGCTGATGAAAGGCTGTGTTGTTCTGGCTCTGGCAAGAATAAACCACTGCCAGTGGGTCTCTCTCTCCTTGTCCACCAGGCTGGAACCTGT